GGGGGGGCATTGGGGCTCGAACTCAGGACCTTGCACTTGCCAGGCAGATGTTTACGCTGCTGAGCTATCTCTCCAGCCCTTCACTCACCTCATCAGACCACCTTGGGCCACTGTTTTGCTTCATACTATATCCCCAACATCGAAAAGAAGCTTCAGGAGGGGTTTAACAATAGCTGAATGAACAACCTTTCACAGTACTCAGTCTCTTGAGTGTTAGGATTACATGCATGCACCACCATGCCTAGTTTATACCACTGCTTTTTAAATAATAATATTCTAATATTTAAAACCATTTCAATTCATAATATCACAATTTGTGTTAACCCATGAAAAGGAATGAAAAAGTAAATTAAATATCACTAAACAAAATATGAAGCACACACACGCTTTCCCTTGAATATAAACCCTTTGTTTCCAAAGAGAAACAAAGAAACTGCTGGGACTTCAATTTGTAGGATTAAAAACCGAATTTAAAGCAAAAAGCAAAACCAAAGCTATCATTTGAATCTCACACCTACTAACTCAATGTACTCTTCTGCAAAGCTGAGAGCCAAGTGGAAAGCACAGCCTCAGTCTGTAAACACTTAGGACTCGCCTCACCAACAGGAAAACAGGAACGGCGCAGCGTACAGACAAGAAGCAACCCCAAGGTCCATCTACTATTACCCCTTGTATTTTTACCAAGGAACAGGGGACCTGAAATGACCTTTAGAAAAGTGAAAAGTGTTGTGTCAAAATGAGCAACAATTGAAAAATGCTGGAAGGAAAACTCAACAATTTAGCTGGTCTGTTCTGTTTTGATCCTTGCTACAGTAAAAATTCAGCTTTTATAGAATTAGAGACAAAATACATCACCATGGAAACAGGATGTGAGACCAAGAAGTATGGCTTTCTATGCAGGTCTTCACGCTGCAAGAATACACACAGCGAGGGGTGGGGCGGCTGTGGGGCAGAGCACAGCCCGGGGCCCAGGTCTGGACTGAGCGCAGCGTCTGCCACTGACACTGACCCTCAGCACTCTTAGCCTTACTAGACCCCTCGTTGTTTATTGTTACTATTGTTGCTGTCATTTTAAAATCAGAAAATTGGTGATTACTGAGACCTACTTTATAAGATTATCAGGAATGTAAACGAGCACAGGTCATCTAACTCAATTTCTGGTATATTCTTGGCTACACCTCCCTGCAGGCTTTTGGACACTTCATCCCTCAGTGCAGAAGGTGCACCAAGCACTGCCTCTCTGCCTCTGTGAGCTTCCCTGCACCAGCCCATCACTGGGATTTCCAGTAACAGCAGGGGTGGCACTGTTAAGAGTGCCATCTCTAGGATCCTGTCACTGCCTCTAGTAGCAATTAGGTGTTGCACATGAGCAAAATCAAAGATGCTGCGGATTTTTTTAATGGAAAATTGAACAATGGGACTACAACTAGGAAAGGATTTTCAGCAAGAGTCCTCTCCACAGTAGACTACATTAGATTAGATGACCATTTGCTATTTAAAAGCTTCTGTTTTAAACCCAAGCTTTTACTCCAAAAGTACCTGTTTATTGTATTTTCTGAAACTTCTAATTATCAGCACGGGGTCCTCCCCCCTTAGAATAGCTAAGAGACAAACAGAGGATGATAATGTATAAATATCACCCCTCACTCACTTCTAGAAAGAGCTTTATCATTTTCATTTGTGAGTGAAAAAGGATACTCTACTTAATAACAATTCTTTAATATACAAGTCAAATTCAAAACATGCATCTTGAAGCACATATTTATATTTTCATAATAAAATACGTTAGAAGCTCTGCCTTGCAAATACATACCATGTAAAGAAACATACCTGGGATGATATCGTTGATGTGCAGGAGAATCGTACTCTCAACACTTGCAAAACTACAAAGCTGTACTCCATCAAACTTGCCATCCCAGTTACCAATAGGGTTATCCTAGAAATTAGATAACAGGATAAACTTTGAAATTCTTCTCAATAAAATGTAAATAGAGAAGTATATGTTCCATAAAAGGATCTTTTAAAACATTTTATAATGAACTTTAACTGTTTTGCCTAAAAGAAGGTATTAGAAATAATTACCATATTAATTAGGCATTTTGTTTGTTTTTAGAAAAATAACAAGAATAATCAAGTTATTCCTTATTATAGCTAAACAAGGAATAAGAAGTGTCTTTCATACTTTACTGGATGATAACTATTAGCCTACAGAATAACAGACTGAGGTTTAAAGAGACATTGTTTTCACAGGAAGATTTATTACTTATACAACATTTTACCCAAAAATCTGCCCAACAGATGATCAGACCTTTATATTCACTGAACAGCTAAACAATTCAAACTATCACATGCTTTTCTCTACACTTAAGGCCCATTTTTTTAATTGCTGATTTGTCATTTTATGGGTATGTACAAATTTCTTCCAAAATAGATTTTTCTATTTAAGTCACTGATATACCAACGTAGCACAATGCCATTCACACAGTTAGATTAATAAATGGCCAAGGAAGACAACTCCTTCCAGGACCAATGTGTACAGAATCCTGAAATGCCCTTGGAAATCAAAACGTATGAAAAAAGTTGTATCTGCTGTGAAGTGAAGCCTCAACAGCCTCCTTGGGGATGGACCAGCGTGAAGGGAGGGGCTGGCAGACCAAACAAGGGCAGAAGCAGCCCGCCCTGGGCAAACCAGATGGCCTCCAGGCTGCCACTAAGGAGGTCAGGCTAATTGGCTTCTGCCAAATTCGGGGCCAAGCCAAAAGACCTGAGGTAAGGGAGCAGGCATCCCAGGAACCAGTGGCCCTCCTCCTCCAATACTCCCTCCACTCAGCCCATAATTTCGCCTCTAAAATACCAAAGTAAAACTTAGAGAAAATCGGTTTTAAAAGGAGCTCTTTATTGTCAGCCATCCTATTTTACTTTGGCTTTAACTTCAGAGTAAGAGTGCAATAAACGTTGATTCAGTACAACTAATCAGTATCAAATAAAATTTCCAAGTACAAAATAACAGGAACGTATGTCAGAACACCCTCACTCTCCTAAGTCTACTCAAATTATACCTGAATAGATAAAAATGATTACTAAAAACACTGCCACCATGAGTACAAAAGGCCATTACTCACATCCTCTCCTAACTCATCCTAGTTTCTAATAATTCTGCAAGACTCTCCTTCTTTATACTTAACAAATTTTTGTCTATATTTTCAATCTATGATAAAAAATGTTCTCGGGCTTTTTCTTCCTGTTCTTCTAACGCCACAGGTACGCGTCAACATGTCACGCTGGAATGGATCCATCATTAAGGACAATTGTAAGGTAATACCAAAAATGAGTGCCGTAAACAAAAGGACAAATACTTCATGATTCCACGTCTATGAGATACATCACACAGGCAGATTCTAGGAGGGTGGCGAAAAGTGTGTGTGGACAGGAAGCAGAATTTATTTAATAAGTATACAGTTTCAGTTTAGAGGGATGAAAATGTCCTAGATATGGATAATGGTGATGGTGTAATAAGAATACACCTAATTCCACTGAGCTGTACATTTAAGAAGTTAAAATCATAAATGTTTTCTTATGCATATATCCTACCACAATAAGAAAAAAGCCATATGAAGGGTATCTCATAAGAATACTCCAATTGTCTATTCCTCAAAAGCAGTATGGTTTTCCTTTCCTGAATTACTTTCTACAAATGATTTTTCACATTATTCACCAAGATTAGTTCAGCCAACAGAATTTTATATAATATTACAAAAAGAAAAATATATGTTACCAAAAAAATTTTCAAAATAAAAACTATGACATGTATTTGGGCTTGGTAGAGTTTTTTGGGTAAAAAGTTGTTTGTTGTCTCAGTTTGTTTCAGCCATTAGTTGGTTATCATAAGAGTAAATGCAATTGCATATCTGGATTCTTATCCCATTTCAATGTCCCTTTATCAAAGATAAATTAGAATATGTTCATCAAATACTCCAAATTAGTCCATTTGAAATACCCAACATATGCAATATGTATCTAAATTGACCATAAAACAAATACATACATTCACAATGAAAATATAATCCAAACTTTTCTTACCATGTCCACACCAACAAAATATCCTAAGCTCTCTTTTCCTGGCAAAACATCACAGAATATAACTGTTCCAGATTCTATAGTTTCTCCGACCTTCAAAGAAACTCTGGAGTTTATTTCCAAAGGCGGAAGTTCAACCTGCATGGTGTCCACCGGGCCTGCATAATCGCTTTCCAGTCCATTATCGTCGTCCTCTATGATTTCCAGCTTGTCCAATGCAACGAACACGCCACAGTCTTCGTCACACTGAAAAAGCTGCTTCCCTTGATACACGCCATCAGTGAAGCCTTGGCCACGGCCTTCTTCCTAGTTTTTAAGAGATTTCTTTTAAGTATATAGAAAAATTATCCATAGGAAAAATGATCTAGCCTAAGAATTTCAGGGAAATTAATTTGAAAAATTCTAAGCAACTCACATAAGGGGCATAATGATGAGCAGTTATTGCTGGAGTATGATGCTTAAAATACAAGGAAAAAGGTAAGTCTGATCAGAGCTGAAATCTGATCAGTTACCTGATAATTTCAAATTATAATTAGATAATGACAGCTGGGCTGGATTCTCCATTGAGATTCAAACATTATTTCTGTCATAAAAAGAAACCTTTACTGTAATAGCAATGTTATCTCAGCTACTGAGTACTTACTACATCCCAGCCACTGTGCTAAATCCTACATCAATGCCCAGCTAACACTACCAGCTGCATACTATCATCACCACTTCAGCGAGTGACACAGATTTAAAGAAGATCAGCAGGTTGGTTAAGTCCAGCTAGTAAATGGCATAACGAGCAACTCAGCCTCCAATTTTGTTATAGTGCTTATAAAATTAAATCAAGGAGGAAATAAGGTATGAAGTTCTAGCCAAAAGAATGTCAAAATGTATTTTATATTTAAGTTCTTGAAAATTATATTAAATATGGAAACATTCACAGAGTAAGAACTCTTGGGTCCCTTTCCAATATAAATAACTTCCAAGCTGATTTCACATATATCACCAGAGACAACTATAAGCAAGTTTCAATTGCTGCAAATTATTTATAAAAACTCTTACATCTAAATTGTCATCACTTAATAACACATATGAAAGAAGTGAGAAACCTATAGATAGTGTCAAAAGATCATAAGCAATTTCTGCAACAATTATAATTACTGTTCACTTTTTCATATAAGCAATGTTAATTTCTCTTGGATAAGAAAGTCTGTAATAACTATGTGATTATTGTATGTTCCTACTGTAACAGGCAATTTTTAATAGTTTCCAAGCACAATGACTGCATCATCACAAAAAAACATTAAAAAGTAAATCCTGGGGCTGGGGGCACAGCTCAGTGGCAGAACACATGTGTCGCATGCACAAGACCCTGGCTTTCAGCCCCAGCCCTACAAACATAAATAAATAGCAAATCCCAAAGACTGTGAATATTAAAAATTACTGACAACTTCGGGAAAACTTATTTTGGGTTTAAAGAGGAAAAAGTCATAGGTGCATACAAACACAGAGACATATACACACACATGCACACAGCCCACTAAGATGGATCAACAAACTTACCAGTAATTCTACTCCAAAGAATATCCCCGACACCGTCCTCTCCGCTAACAAGGGTCCTCTGAAGCGCACAACTCCTGGAAACTTTTCTTCCCCAGAGCGCAGCTGCACCTTCACAGGGCAGCCCACATCTACCTGGAGGCCTTTACTTAGTCTGCTTCTGTTTTTAAACAAGCTGAGCCTCTCCTCGCAGTTGGTGATTGCCAACAGCAACTCTGTGAATTTTTCGTTTATTTCTACAACATCCTTTTCGTCAACAAACAGAACTGCGTGAGGTTGCTCTAGGATTTTTAATCCAATCTGATTTTTCTTGCCTTTGGCAGAAGGAATCCTGGAATGCCCCACAGAGCGGTCTTGGATATACTGTCCTATGCTCCCCTTCGGTACTTTAAGGAGCTTTTGGGTCTGTTTGTCTGTAACACTGCATTCTTGAAGAAGCATGTAAAAAATCCGCTCTTCCCAATAGGGTGAAGTAACTTTTTCTTGGCTCCATAAGCCTGAACTCATCATGATAGTAACTTCAGAACATTAGCTCAAGAAAGGGACCACTAGTAAGTTTGTCATAAAATTGCAAAAGATAAATTCACTGGCAGTCCCAAAGTATGTTTTTAACAATTTGGTGTCCATGCTGTAAAAAGACAGCAAATCAAAATGCCTGGTGAACAAGCAAAAATAAGCTTTAGACTTCATTCTACATAACCAAAAGAATTAAGTTTAGAGACTTTTAAAATGTTTAGTTGACTAATACACACACACATACAAAATATTTCCAAAATACCTAAAAGGGCTAACTTGTATGTCCCTTTTAGGTATTATATGCAACATATATAACTTGTATCAACTTCAATTGTAATATTTAACTAAGGAAATCCAATTGGAAAGTACCTTCAAAGACAATATAATAAATGATTGCTTCCAAGGCTTTGAAATTTATAACACCAGATTCTAGCAAAAATTGTAATGGTTGCCCTCATATACATATTCTGGCATTTTTAAACTTAGGAGTAGCCTCTTTTTTTGGTTCTGTTTGTTTGTTTTTGAGACAGGGTCTCACTGTACAGTCTAGGTTGGCCTTGAACTCACTATGGAGCCCAGGTTAGCTTTGAAATCCAAACAATCCCCCTGCCTCAGCTGCCTGAATACTGGGATTATAGGCATGCCCCATCATGTGCAGCAAAAGTAGCAACTGGAATGGATTCTGCCCAACTAATGGATAAACTGATACATTTGAGCAAAAAGCACATAAGTCTTCTCAATAAAAGGGTTATCACTTCTGAACACCGTTTAAGTTAAAAGTTATACATTAATAGTTGAACATCTTTTGTCAATAAAAATGTCTTATCACATTCTTAAACTGTAACCACAATTGATGTATCTATTGTAGTAATGGAACATTTTATTTCTACCTCAATTTCATTTCCTTAATCTCATACACTTTGTTTTTAGACAGGCAAATGCTAACCATAATCATCACAGTCATCATTTAATTTCTCACAATCACAGCTGTCAGACATTATAATCTCATTAAAGATTTTTTGTAGCATCAAAACTCAGATTATATAACAAAAACATAAAACTTCAATTTAGTGATGCTGAATTGTAGAAGTTCATTTCGAATATGAATTTTTTAAGTACTATTTTAACTGTATTCAATGAAAGACTACATAAGATTTCTTTTTCAACTTCAAATTTTCATTTTAATTTTTTATGTATTTAGTACAGAGTCTACAGGGTCTCACTACACAGATCAGACTCGCAGTGATCCTCCTGTTTTCAGCCTCCCAAGTGCTGGGATTACAAACATGCACGACCACACCCAGTCTCAATCACCATCTCATGGAGCCCCAAGGGTGGGGCCAGCACAGCACACCAGGGATCAAATCCTGGTCCCTTAGCCTGCCTAAGCAGGTGCTCTAGTCTGCTGAGCTATCCGGCCACCTCTTCATTTGAAATTTTTACAAAAATAATAACTTTTCACAATGAAGTAACCATCCTCAAGTCTGCTTTAATAGATGATTAAAAACTAGACAGTCATTCATGCAAATTAGGATTTATTATTTAAATTATTTTGCTATAAATAATAGCTCATGTATTCTCTTGTCACATGAATGTGGCTATTTGGTTTCTAAATACAGTACTTATTTCATCATCATTTGAGATGAGGTATCCGTTTCCATTAACCTGGCTAAAAACAACAACTGATATCACTATTATATTTATTCACTTTATTCTTAAAAAATAAACACCTCTAAAACTAAAGAACTAAATTTAAGTTTAGTCATTTAACTTAGTCATCAAAAAAGCTGGCAAACGTATACACACAGTAACATTCCTTTTAGAAAGCATCATTTGGCAATTAAGTGCTCCATTAAGGCAAAGTTTTCACACAAGTCTGGCCTTCTGCAATCCGAACTGAGACCTGCAGGTCACCTAAAACAGGGCAGGAGTCTCAAACCAGCAATGCTGGAGTACTTGTGTCACAACTTGTGGGGACACATGCAAGGCAAGTACAGGAAGCCTCTTCATTCTTTTTTTTGTTTGTTTTAATAATGTGTTTGCTTTAATTCCACTTGAGGGCACTGTCTACTTGAACTGGCGTGCAATCAACGTATATCTGCCACTTACGTAAGACACCTGTGGCCACCTCGCTCTTGGTACCCCATAAACAAAACCCCTTAAAAGGTTGCTTAAACAACTAGCGAAGCCCTTAATTTGGTGCTAGGCCTTTCAATCTCCCCACCGAAATGAGCTGCTGGGCTTTTTTGCTTTTTACTAAAATGCTTTTAAATGCCAGCACTTTTCAACAAGGGTATTATCTTTTCTTGGTCACTGAATTATCATTAGACATATAAATTATTACGTGAGTCTAAACATGGAAGGCTCTTTGTTAACAACTTTGCTAAGAAGCTTTAGGTCTGCTTTCGGGGCTTGGGCCTACCTTCTCTGCATCTACTGCCTGAAGCTTTCTCTGGGAATCAGCCGCTTTCTGTGGTTTCCTGTCACACGCACGCATTTGACGCTCTCGCCAGCCCTGCTGCTTTCCTACCTCCTGCTTCTGAACAGCTCTGAGAAGCCAGACGATAGATTATGTTTATTTACAAAAAGCAAGGCAATAATAGCATTAAAGAGGAATACATAAATTCTGGAAAAGTTTGCAGGATTAAACTACATGGGCCATAATGCATTGATATTATTTTCATTACTTCCAAAAGGCTTCAGTAGTCAAAAAGTCACATCCAAAACAGTGACCAAGAACCAAGAACACCTTAGTTCTTTTTCAAATGTACTATAGGGCCAGCGATACAGCTCAGCGGCACAGCACCTGCCTGACAAGCTCAAGGTCCTGAGTTTGATTCCTACTACCAAAAATAAATAAACAAAATGTATTATTATTTTTTGGAAAAAAAAATTTTTAAAGGATATAGCAATTCTAGTTGCAAAAGAAATTCTTTTTGTAAATTTCTAAATACAGTTGCCTTCAAAATAAAAAGAGAGACTTCTCTGAATCTCAGTAATTACTTATATGTTAATAATTCCTACTCTGTTGGTTCTCTAGCATAACAATTCATGTCACAATTTAAAGTAAAAACAATAAGTGAACTAAAATATTATCAAGACAAAACTAAATTATATGTAATGCATTGGGACACCATAGTCTAAATGAATCTTATTGTAAAATTACTTTTTGCAGCTTACTGAAGGGCAGCAACCCACAGTGAAAACTAATATAGCTAGCTGATTTATAAAAAGGTAGAGGGCAGTAATTAGTAGTTTTCAAGTATTATTTTTCAACCATGAACTACACCAGGTGTGGTAACTTTTTGCTTCCTTCCAACAGAACACCAAGAATTGACCTTAGAGTCAATAGGATGGGTCATATTAGAGCACTAGAACAGCGAAAGCAAGTTATAAAATATTTAAAATGCATTGTCCAAAACCAAAAAGCATGTGGCCTTTCTTCTTTTAGAAAGAGCATATTAAGAACAGGTTTGAAACTATTGTATTAAAAATTAATTATCTTTTTTGCAACTCACGGAGAAAGCTGCATGGGGAACTTTATGGCCCTACTCTAGAGATACACACGAAGATAAATTTAATGGTTAATAGTCTCAAATGTCAGTATTACAACAGAAATACGGTAATACATATTTCTTCCCACTGAATGTAATGAATACAATGTCAACATTATTCTGTGTGTGTGTGTGTGTGTGTGTGTGTGTGTGTGTCACAGGTTCTCGCTTTATAGTGCAGGCTAGCCAAGCTGCAGCCTTGAACTCACTATGCAGCCCAAGCTGGCCTTGAACTCATGGCAGCTTTCTCACCTCAGCCTCCTAAATGCGGGGATTAGGGGAGTGCAGCACCACACCTGGCAACAATATATTCTTTCAGAGTGCTATCCACACTGAACAGTTAAAGATGACCAAGCAGTGAAACTGGCTGCATATAAAGTAAAAAAAAAAAAAAAAAATAAAAAATGTAAGTAACATTGTAACTGAGTTCTTATCAGTTAGGAAGGCTGGTTTATAGGGTTAGTATTTTGATGCACTGGGTTCAGTGTTAGTGAAAAGCACAGAAGCTTTAAGATCAGATGACTGCCTTCAACAAATCATCCCATTTCATCCTTTAACAAAGATCACAAGAGCAGCAGGTCAACCCAAGGAACAACAAGGACTGTCAAATTCAGAATCAGGACAGTGTGATGGGGGAGGGGGCAGAGTAAAGGGAGAAATGCTTACTTGTATTCTCTTATTATTCTGCAGGTGGAGTCACTTTGAAGGTGACTATATCACAAATGACTCATCTAAATACTATTGTATTTCAAGCTGGATAAGTGAGTGATTATGAATATCTTGATAATTGCTAATAAATACTAAATGAAGATACCAAAGAGTTGAAATACTTAAGCATTAAAAAGCATGCTGGGGGGGGGGGGGCAGGGAGATGGCTCAGTAGGATAAGTGCTTGATTGACAAACGCAAGGATCTGAGTTCAATCCCCGGTTCCGCCCAAAAAAAAAAAAAAAGCATGCTGGGGGGCCAGCAAGATAGCCCAGCAGACTGAAGCGCCTGCTTAGGCAAGAGCAGGGACCATGATTTGATTCCCTCAGCACATGCTGCGCCAGCTCTGCCTCTAAGGGCAGGTTGAGCCAGCCACAGAGTCCGGGCTTAGTGACATATGCTTATAATCCCAGGGCTGGGGAGGCTGAAAACAGGAGGCTCACTAGGAGTCTAAGCTGCGTAGTGAGACCCTGTAACAACCAAATACATTAAAAAAAAAAAAGATGAAGAAGAAGCAGCATGTTGAACAGAAGAGCTTTCTTTTGAGGACACTAGAGATGAGGGAACAATTCAGTATCACATAGGTCTGAAATCACACCTGGTTATCTGAGCTTATTGATGGTCTGTATTCAAATTAAAAGGGGATTTAACTGCATTACAATAGAACCATTAAACCAAGATAAGGTTTAAGAGCACAAATTGATCAATTTCCTATGAATGAAATGGAAAGATAATCAAGAAATAAGTCATAAAAAAATAGCCAAGATCAGAATTACCAAGTTACAGTAGTACAAATGATCATTAGATACATAAAATGGACAATGGGTAACTTATCCGGAAGGTACAGTATCACTTCCACGCTCAAGCTATCCGGTGATACCATTCATAAGAACCTAACAGATGTAATTCAAGAACTGCTAGCATATCCTGAGATATCCTGCTTGTTCTAAGAACCACAGGAAGCTACCTCAATCAAAATAAAAATTACCATTCTAAAATACTGCCCCAAAGTATAAAGGGCGAAGAGGTGGGAAGGTCAGCAAGAACACCCAAGAAAGAAGACATGTGAGACTTCTTCCAAATGCTTCTAGATAGCTACAAGGATTACCATTTTAAGAGAGAACATCTCTCAGGAAAAGAACAAGTTGTTATATTCTTATACAGCTAAACAGAAATATAAACATTCCAAAACCAGAAAACAGACTGGCTCGGTTTTAATATTCCTCACAAGTACACAGTCCGTAGAAGAAGTGGGATTTATATGCTTTTTATTTTTAAAAAGTGCTCTTGAAGCTGCACGCTCATGTCAAAAGGATGAGGAACATTGCTCTCCCTCTGGAGTTAACCCTAGCCGCTCCGCACCCCAACTGGGAATTCCCCAATTCTCATGTCTTTGGACTTCCAGGGCCCAGAGCAGGAACAATTTTCTAAATGTTCATGAAAACCAAAATGTCACTTTATCACCATCCTTTCAAAACCTTCCTCCAGATTAAAAAAGAAAGACTCAGCAGTTAAGAGTATTTAATGACTTTTGCCTAAAATATCACTATGCTCTGGACAAATGATCAGTGTTCATGAAACTGGTGATCCAGAATAATTTCACAATTATGAAATCAAGTTGTTTTGAGACTCATTTGAAAGCAGATTCCTAGAACACATACCATGTGCGACACTTGAAAATTTTGTATGAACAATGTAAAAAACCTGGATGAATTTAAGATCACTGTATGGAAGTCAGGAACAAACTAAAATAACTTGATGACGAGGATTATTACTCTTCTGTTCTTTATTAAAGACTTCCTTAAATCAAATGGAACCACAGCTTTGGCATGCCAGATCACAGAAATCACTGCTGCTCAGTGTTGGTTCTTTATATAACAGGTGGCCTGGCCTTACAAGCACCTCAAAAAAGTTACCACCCGAAACAAGCCTTCTTCTCAAGAATACATTAAAATTTTGCAGCAGAACATCTGAGAATGTTCTGGGTATTATCAACATTCAGAGTACATGAACTGTGGTAAGAATTTCCAGCAAATCATTTTCTCTTAATAATGTTCTACTTCAAATCCACCCACTACCCCGTGGGGAATGGCAGGCTAAATTCTTAGGGCCATTCAACCTACTTGGGGCATGAGGGGGTGTGCAGAAAGCCAACACTTGAATCAACACCCTCACGAGGCCTGGGTTTCTCTCTGGGAGCCTATGATGACAAAATGAGCAATCTAATTCCGATCCCTATTGAACACCAATTCAAAAGCAAGGTACGGATACTCTTTAGCTTAGCGAAGAATACAACTTTCCAGGGAAAACTGAGGGGGAGAAGGGATAATGAGGATTTCAGACTGCAGGGCCACGAGTGGACGATGACAACCATCCTAAAACACGAAAATGCCAGGGAGGGGAACAGAAAAGCTGCCAAGTACGTGAACAGCCGGGTAGCCGACCCCGCTGAGCATCAAATTTAAAACACGCTCTCCCTCCAAGCCTTCAATTTCCCCACGAATCGCTAATAGATAACAAAACGAAAAACAGAAAGGAAAAATGAATGATTGTGTGTGCCCGGGCACATCTTCCAACTAATGAACTCTGAGTTGTGTAAAAACCTGCCTCACCCTAGGAAGGGGGAAACTGAAAGAAAAAGCAGAACACGCCATTAAGGAGATGAGAACCCTGACTTGCTCTTCCTGGATGGGCGCCACAAACATTCCCCCAAACCCTAACCCTAACCTATCCACACACCGCACGGAACAACACGAGACCTTACAACCTGGGGCTTTCGCTGCCAACGGGGGGCCGTCAGGAGTCAGCCAGTTGTCCGTGCCTCAGTTTCCCCATGTGTAAATGGCAGACGGCAAGAAGGAGACTTGAGTCCTGCGCTGCTCGCACCAAGCCCCTCTCTCCCGGGTCCCAGCGGCGGCGACCACGCTCCCACGGACTCCGGAGCCCTCGCGGGAAATATCGGGGATGGTGAGGCCGAGCTGACGTACGTCGCGGGCGCAGCACCCCGCGATCCCCGCTGGCTCGGGCGGTTCGGGGCAACTAACGGGCCGGCGCCCAGGCCCGCCGATCGCCGCGACGGCTCGAGGTGCCGGGGGCCCTAAGGGGCACCCAGTGGGCTCTAGCCGCCCGCCGCTCGGCTCCGGGTCACTCACCCACCACAGGCGGCGGGGCGTCGCTGCCCAACCTGCCACCCCTCCGCGTCCCGGGCCGGCCCGGCACCCCACACCCACCGCCCTAGTATTTACCTCCAACGCGCGGGCCCCCGCGCAGCCGAACCTGCTACCTGGGCCCGCCCCCACCTGCCCCGCCTCCGAGTCGCCAGTGAGAGGGAGGGAACGGAGGCGGAGGACCCAACCGCCGAGATAACCAATCACATCCCGAGTTACGTTCCTGCGGGCACTCTGATTGGGTCTCTCCTTGACCTTCCTCCAATAGCTGCAGGCGCGGCGCCGGCTAAGGGGACTTTCCGCTCCGTCAAGCTCGGTGGAGCCTAAGGGGAAAGCAGTGGGGAGGGGCGGGGAAGAGCCCAATGGGGGCGGGGCACCGTGGCTGATTGGCCCAAAGCCCGAACAAACGCATCACTATTGGTTGTTATTGGAGCTGGGGCGGGGCGCTGTGCTCTTCTAGCTCCTCCTTCCATCGCGCATCCAGGCTCTTGCCTTAGCTGTCAAAACTGCGGTGGGAAGAAGTCCAGACGAGAGCTGGGAACAGTTTTCCAGGATTTCAAGAAAGAGCAAAGCTTAAAAATCACACCTAAAATGGAACCTTTTGCTCTCTCAATTAGTTGCCGCTTGAGATAGAAAAGTCACAGCCACGCTGCGCCTCAATTTTCACATCTGTAAAGTGGAGATCCTACCATAGTACCACCTGTCTTGCAGGATGGTTGTGCAGTGCTTGCCGTTCAATGTTCCCCTCGGAAGTGGCCTGGGACCCTGCTGTTTCTAAGGGTAGTGATTCCACGCACCACTTCACTCAGCCCCGCAACTCTGGCCACCAGCCAAGATATGGGGTTAGTTAAGGAGCTTTCAATTAGAATAGGAGGCTTCTGATTCCCAAAAGCTCTCAAAATATTTAAGGAAATGCTTTTTATAATCAACCCCAGAGCTTTGAAGCATGCCTTCCTGCACTGGTTATTCTCGTTAATTAATTCCTTCTCCTTTGACATTTTAAGTACTAATTATGGGGGGCGGTGATTAATACTGAGGAAGGAGGTGTGTGTGTGTGTGTGTGTGTGTGTGTGTGTGTGTGTGTTTAATGACAATTAAATTTCGCCAATGGAAAGTGACATGCTTCCAAAAATCCGGGGAATTTAGACCGCTGAGTCCATAAAAGTAGTCACGCGAGTGATTACTGAGAGTAGCCCTAAACAGGCCTCCCTTCTCCCTCGCCAGAATCACAAAATTAAATGGACATCTTTGGAAAACCTTAGCTTCAGTCGACCTTGTTTTCCTTTAGTCCATCCCAGACCCATTTCTCAGGCTTCCTGAACATCCTCCAGAAGGAAATATGATGGGAATCACCAGGCCTGGATCACCGTGTGCCCTTTCAGAGTGTCATTCCCTGCTAGAACTTGATTCGCTAGAGCTAAGACTGACATCACACTCTAGCTGTCTGGGAGAAAACATCAACCTGAAGAACACTTTTGCTCAGCCCATATATTAAGGATGAGGAAGAAGCAGAGGTGAGGAACAGGTTTTTTGAATACTTTAAACAAAGCAAGCACCCTCACTTTCTCCAGTTTGCCACACTCCTCACCCTTCCTTATTATATGCACTTGAGCCACATTTTATTCTGGGCCCCAGAAGGCATTTGAGATTCCCATCCTGACTTGAGCACCTTTCCTGTCTTTTCAGACGATGGCTTCAGGCCCTGCTGACTGCTGGAATAGGGCTTTCTTCCCCGCCAACAGGGGTCGGATACCTTGCTCAGCGTCCGCATCACATGATCACTGAATTAGTGTCTTCCACCAAGAGATGGGTATGGAAGCCGAGCCATACAAACAGGCTTGTCTCAATTACCTGTGTGTTGGTGACAGTTCTGAAGCTGTATATCCAGGCTCACAGGCAACAGAGGCCTACCAGGTATGAGGCAGGAGGATAGTGCCACAGTACTATTCATGATTTCCAGGGCTTCAACACCCGGCCTCTCTTTTTACAGAAGGGAGATTAAAGGTCCAGGGGAGGTCTGAGACTCCGATTCTCCTGATTTCAAACCAGTGCTTTTTCCACCTCTTTAAACAAATTCTCCAACCAAAACACTCATCCTCTCTGCCTTCTAAGGCCTCCCTGCCTGTGGAGCCCAGCCAAAGCCCTGTCTCTTCCAGGGGTTTTTCCAGATGCCTCCAGCCCCCATTGATCTCCTCTACCTCTCCACATCCCCCCAGCCTGTCAGATCCAGCTGGGCCCTGGGCTCAGCCTAGCAACTGGTGGTTGAGTTACTGAAAAGCTACTAAGGAACCAAGCAGTGGATGAAGGAGATACCACCCATGCCTCTAGCAAGATAGGTCGGTTTTAAACAACTAATTACATAATTGCTTTCCTAATTACAGGCAGGATGAGCTCAGAAGAACATCTCTGAGCTTGCTAAATGGGAGGGAAGGGACTTTTAGAGAAAGCCTGCTGAGGACACTGCCTTTAAGAGACTGGAAAGATGCTGGCAGTCTGGGATTAAGGAGAGCACTCCAGCCAAAGGGAATAGAAAAGTACGTGAAGGTTGAAGGATCTGAAAAAGGCAGGCCACACACAGTGAGATGCAGCAGAGAACTGGGAGCCAGAGCCAGGCTGACGTTCAATGAGAGAGCAGTGGAACTTTCTGAAGGATGTTTGGCAAGATAGTAATTGTAACTCAAAGTGTCTTATTCCCTTATTGCACAGGATCCCAACAAAAAAGCAATGGCATGGCACGAAACTGAATGGAAGGAATGGGGTAGAACCAAGTTCCCAGGAGCCTAGTAGATGCCTATGACTGTAACACAAGACAACCTCAGTGTCCATTGACTCAGTTCTGGATTAGGTCCCAGCCCATCTTCCTTCCCAGTATCTACCATAGGCTACCTCCTCCTTCTACCCTCACCAAATTCTGTTTATTTCATACTTTACTGCCTGCTCCACATTTCCACTGGAGACAGCCCAAAGCTAAGACCTGCTGTTCCCCTCCCCCATCGTCATCCTCCTCTCAGTGAATGACAACTCCCTATTCATCCAGCCTCCATGCTTCCAGGCATTTTCCTGTTGTTCCCTATAAAGCTGGGCACTCAGAAGAGCACTGTGCCAAAGGACAACCTGGGCCAAGGGTCCCTGCAGGCAAGGATAGGGTTCCAATGATTTTTCCATAGTAACCCCACAAGACATCCTGATCAACAGATGAGGACTTGGTAGTCCTCCAGCTGAGAGATGTGCTTTTCTCTCAGGGAAGGAAACCCTCAGTGCAGCTGAACATTCTTTCTCGGGGCTTTTACTCTGGTCATCTAAACGCTCTTTTTGATAAGATAAAAAAGGATTACTTTAATCATCTTTAAACTAATCCTGCTGAACTATAAACCCATGCCCTGCTGTTTGAACTATGTGCTATTATCGGTGACAATTTCTTTGTGTGATTTTTAAAACACCCAGAGAAAAAGGCCCTAATGCTCATCAAGACCTTTATATTACATTTGGAGTCTCATGTTGGGCAGCTGATGCAATAGGGACAGTCCCATATCCAGCAAAACTTTTTTCCTTTAAGAAAGATACTAAGCATTAGAGGAAAGGAGATGCACTCTTGTAATCTGGCCCAACTTTGATTTTCTGCTCTCTTTAGGAAGGGTGGATTCTCACTTAGTTAACAAATACTCATTGAGCTCTTACTATGTGCCAAGTACCTTTTAGACTCTGAAGGCTCTACAGGGACTAAGCCAATATTCCAGGGCAAGTGAGTTAGCTTTCGGTCACACAAAATACCTGAGAAAAGCAACTTATAAGAAGGGTTTCTTTTGGCTTGTGGTTTCTGAGGTTGCAGTCCATGGTCCCTTGGTCCCATTACTATGGGCTATAGCTGCACAGTGTATCATGGTGGGAGCTCACGGTGGAGACAGGTGCTTCTTAGATAGCAGCCTGGAGGGGGCAGTTGCCATGGCCCCTGAAAGGCACATTCCTTATTGCCTAACTTCTTTCAGCATCTAAAGGTTCTACCACCTCCTAATAGCACCCTGGGCTGGCAACAAAGATTAAATACTTGGAGCCTGAGGGATGCTCCTGATCCAAACTACCGCAGAAAGGAAGGAAGAAATGAAGACCAGATTCTGCACACCAGGAAGACACTATGAAGCACATTAGGGGCAAAAATACTTGCTGGGCATAGATAAATTGTTCAGGAAGGATTTGCTCTTTGGACATTTGGTCAAAAACTTGAAGGAGGAGGGCCAGCCAAATAGCTCAGCAGATTAAAGTGCCTGCAAGTAGGTGCAGGGGCCAGGCATTCAATCCCTGGGCCTGCCTGTGCTGGCTCCACCCCTGGGGTGCACTGAGACAGCAATTGAGACTAGGCGTGGTGGTACATGCCTGTAATCCCAGCTCTTGGGAGGCTATAAACAGGCGGATCACTACAAGTCTGATCTAGTAGTGAGACCCTGAACACTCTGTAGATCCTTCCCTAAAATAAAAATAAATAAATAAAATTTTTTAAAAAAACCTTGAGGGAAAGGAAGAAGCAAGCCATGCCAGTGGCTAGAGAAAAGGCCATAAAAGATATGAAGCAAACGAAACCTCCAGGAGCAGCAAAGTGCTCGGGACTCTCAAGGAGCAGCAAAGCGACAGTATGGCTGGAGCAGAGAATGTAGGTGTCACCTGGAGACCAGAGAAGACACAAAACAGTCTAAGGCAGCCCAAGACCTAGGCGTTTACTCTGCACCAAACAAAATGTTCTAAAAGTTTTGGTCAGAGCAGTGGCTTATCTGGCTTGTGTTTCTACAGGCTCACTCCATGGGTCCAGGGCAGGGAGATCAGTGCTGGAAGAACATTGCTGTGACCCAGGAAAGGACGGAGCCTAAAGAAGCCGCTGTTTCCTGCAGGCGGCAGCAGAGCAAGCGACACAGGTGAATGATGAGGAGTGGACTGGTACAGACTGCTCATGAAGTGGAGCTAGGTTGGCACTAAATTT